AGAATTAAGGGTTTTAACTTTAACTTATACTTACTTCTTACGTAATAATACTTATAGGATTTAAACTAGAATTAGTGGGGATTTATACCCCGTTTTAGGATATAAGCGAACCCGATTCGGTCCCTCTTCACAGGTAACTCCGTGTGCGCGTTACATTCTTAGGTGTAAAAAACACCTTATAAAACGCTATAGTACATATCGCAAGCCTTAAATTATTATTACTATTATTATTAATTAAAAAAGTTAATATTAAAAGGTTATTTAAGCCGATTAATAAGCTTATCTTAATTAAAGAAGAATATTAATTACCTTAATTAATAGAAATTAACGTGAAGCTACTATTAACATTTTTAACAAAGAATTTTTAAAAGATTTCACGTAAATCTTAGTAACTAAGCCTTTTACAGGTATTAAAGCTACCCTTACTAGCTTAATATATCGTGAGTAGGGATAGATAAAGGTTTATGTAAAATATTAGGTCTTTACTTAAATTTATGTGTTACATCCAGCTAATTTAAGTCTAGCGTCTATATTATGCTAAATTGTGCGTTAAAATTGAGGTCAAAAGATTGACCCCAATTCCGGGAATCACACCCCTAGCAAAAAGTTGCTGCGCCCCGAGCAATTCACCAGAGAATTCTACTGTCCACCCCAGAACGGGCCGATTTGTTGAAGAATGCGGGTGATTGGTGTTTGCTGACCCACCAGATTGTATAGTATACCGATTCGATCCAATCTGGTGTTGCAAGCCCCATAATGCCCATGCTGATAGCTGGTCACCGCAAGGCGACCCGTTCATTGCGTCAGGGTTGTATTGAGTTGAATGTAGCGATTTTGTAGAACACAATCTTAAGAGTACTCTTATGACCACTTAATTTACTAGTAAATAAACGTACCATCTTAAATTTAGCTTCTTTTTGGGTATGTAGCCCTGCAGATACTCGATTGGAGCCTTAGCACACCAGAGGGGATAGAGGGTGTATACAATCTACCTTTTTCGCTTCTGGACCACGAATTATGATGCAAAACATGATGCAGCAGGTGTGGAAAACAAGAGACTGCCAGGTGAGAACGCATCTCATAGAATGCCGGCACGGAAGGGGCCGGTAATAATACCTGAAGACACCCACGCAACAATGGACAAGGGCCATCGTCGATGACGCCAGGGGCGGCGGGCGAGGATGGAGGGGGCGGGGTGCTGATGTTTCCCTCCACTAGCACCAAGGCCAATCTGGCAACCAGCTGGATCTTTGGCTTGCGTGTTGCTGCGGATAACGACGTCTGGCTGAAATTGAGGTATTTTCGTGCACGTGTAATTGACAACCGGCTTGGCTAGACTCTTACTTCAAGCTGACTGCCACGTTGTACGTAACCTAAACTACCAGACTGCTTGTGATATTGGGCAGGAGTGACAGGGGGCTGGCTTGCCTTGATTGAAGTTCTCCACCTTCTCCCGCCCTTGGGATGGTAGCCAACTTGAGTCTGTAAACTACTGCTACTTGCTCTGTGCTGTGGGCGATTTTCATCTTCCGTCGTGCTTTTGTAGCGCATAGTGCTTTTTTTTTGATCATCAGGCATCGATTCTTTCATCCTGCCTTCGGCAAACAGATTCTTGTACTCCAATTTAGTGTGCAAATATCACCCAAAATGTCCAAGGTGTGCTCCCTCAACCCGAACGCCTCTCCCAAGTACAAATGCTAATTTGCAGATTAACACCCTCCTCTTCGACTGCGACAACACCCTCGTCCTCTCGGAGGAACTCGCCTTCGAAGCATGTGCCGGCCTCATTAACCAGATCTGCGCAGAGCGCGGCATCAAGAAGGAGTTCACCGGCGAATCTCTCATTGTAGAGTTTGTGGGCCAGAACTTCCGTGGCATGCTGACTACTCTCCAGAAGGAGAATGGTATTGAGATCGCTCCCGATGACATGGAGAGGTACGTCCGTATGGAGGAGGATGCCGTCATCGCCAAGCTCAAGGCCTCGCTGCGGCCATGCCCTGGCGTGGATGAGCAGCTGGAGAAGCTGGCTGCTTCCAATAAATACCTCCTTGCCGTTGTTTCTTCTTCTGCATGGCGTCGTGTCAAGGCATCTGTGGACAAGGTTGGCCAGGACAAGTACTTCAAGAACGAAAAGGGCGAGGATCTGATTTACTCGGCCGCCACAAGCCTGGAGAAGCCTACGAGCAAGCCCGACCCGGCCATCTATCTGCACGCGTTGAAGACGTTGGGCAAGACGGCTGGGGAGGCTGTGGCGATTGAGGACAGCAAGAGCGGTACGTTGAGCGCTACAAGGGCTGGCATCAAGACGATTGGGTACGTTGGGCCGTATGCGGATGATAAGAAGGCCGAGATGGAGAAGGTCTTGACTGATGCGGGCGCGGTGATTATTATGCGGGACTGGAAGGAATTCCCGGCCGCTCTGGAAAAAATCGAGTCTGGGGCTCTGTAAGCATAGAGGTGGTATTTGGAATGCGGCGTGTCGGCCTGCTGGGACGTTACACACGCCCTTGGTTTTTGGAGCTGAAGCATAGTTTAGGTCAATGACAGCTGGGCCCTGTGCCTGGCCGACTTTATGTCTGGCACGAATCAAACGCAATTCACATCATTTTCACGCCTAGCAGCCGCGCAGTCATGTTCATTTGATGCATCATTTAGCCCAATCCATCAAGAAACTATTCACACTCTGGAGCGTCTGTCTGCTAGGATTCGCCTCCGGGTAAACCGTCATGATTCTTCCCAATCTCATCTTCACCAGCGTCTTTGTGAACCTGGCAGTCTCGTCCGGCACGCGGAATTGTCCCTCGTCATCAAACAAGTAACACGACAGAGCGAGCGCCGCGCCCACAGATGTATCCTTGCCCGACTCGCAAGCTACCGTCACCATGCCCTGCGGATCCCTCTGCAGGCACGCCGACGCAAAGTCGCATATGTGCGGCAGCGCGGTCCTCAGGTTCCTGCTGGCCGTCTTGTGCTTCCCCAGCCCGACGTCCATGGACGTGGCGGACTTGGCCCACCCGTCCTTTGGCGTGGGCGCGTTCGTCAGCGAGATGCAGCAGCCGGTGCTTGGTGGCAGGGGCAGCGCGCACACGGATATCTGCGGCGTCAGCTGGGTTGTCGGGTTGTCGGCGGCGATTGCCGGCGCCGTCCGCACCAGGGACGCGATGAGGCCCGGCAGCTCTGGCTCCGGCGTGGACAGGAGGAGGTCCCTGTTGGCCCAGAAGAGGGCGGGGGTCAGGCCGCGCGCCCAGTTTTCCGTGTCGTCGGCCGCGCCCTGGATGTACCCGTTGGAATCGATCTCGCTTGTCGACGTGTTGCGGCGGGAGGCGGTGAGGCAAATCACCGGTCTGTAGGAGGCGTATATGGTGCCGGGGGTCTGGTCTTGGGCTTCCAAGTGGGGGCCGAGCACGGAGTCTTGCGTGACCCAGAATGGGCGCAGCGGTTTCGCTATCTTGGGCAGATCCTGGAGGTTGAGGGCCTTGAAGGAGGCGACGAACTGCGGGAAGAGGGCGGTGATTTGGGCGTGGGTGGTAGGCAGGAGGTGCGGCGGGAGGAAGAGCTGGGAGGAGAGCGGGTGCGAGGGCAGGAGGATGGTGTTGAGGACGGTGCACCATATTGGGACTGTGGTCGAGAGGGCGTCGGGCATGCCTGGTGTTGTTGTTAGATGGAGGGTGTGGTGAGATTGGGATGGTGGTGGTGGTGGTGGTGATGGTGCGTACGCTTGCCCCGTCTGGTAGAATCGACAATGATTATCCTGACCGGATTAGCTTGGTTTTTCCGGGGGGAAAGGGGGAGCAATGAGAGGTGTAGCGTATTCATTACCCGTCGTGCTTCTCAATCATGTCGAGCAGATGGAGGTTGAGCCTCCGGGTGCTAAACTTCCACGCCCGCTCATGGCCATCGGTGCTCTTGAAGTATGCAGAGGCGTACTTGTCCCCGGGCGGGATGTACCAGCTTCCGCAGCGTTCATTGGCAATTAAGGGGCGCGGGACACGTTCCTGGGTCTCCTGGTTCGCTTCATTATTTGACGGCGGCTGCCGGAGTGCCTGGGCGGCTTGGTGGACGAACTCGGCGTCGGAGAGGATGGACGTGAGGCGGTTGTGGATGCTGAGGGTGGAGCGTTTGAGGGACGTGAGGAGTGTGGAAAGGGATGGCTGCGAGGGGAATACTATGTCGTTTACGTTTATGGTGTTGGGGGTCGTCATCGTGGTTGATGGGCGCCGAGTTTGAGAGTCCTGAGTTGGTCTCTTGAGGTTGAAATTTCGTGGTTGAAATTGGATCCACAATTTCATCACTTACACACCCAGCTCATGGTGGTTTTTTTTTTTTTTTTTTTTTT